GGTGGAAAAACGTGACGACACCCGCACGTGTCGTCACATGACGTGAAAGCTAAGACACGGGGCTTTCGATCCATAGTAACAACAAAACCCTGTGGTCGATGTACGAAACATAACAAGCATCTGCAGCGTGAAATACTGCCGTAAAATCGGGTCAAATCGGGCTTAAAAGCGCCCCGGCTTCGAACCCGTTAAAGACAGGTCACTTCTGATGATACCACCAGTTGGCCCTGGGAACCAGCTCCACGTCGGTGTGCAACATGTCAATGGGTTGTGTATATTTGTCGTCCACGCGACGTATAAGAGATGATCGCAGAGCAAGGCTCTTTTCTTGGTAAAAAGACATGTCTATATCAGATGGTCAAATGGACGTGGACGTCCAACCAGGTGCCCCACGTCGACCCCGTGACGATACCAGGTGCCTTGTCCACGTGGCAACATTTTCATATATGATATGCGTGCATATGTTTCTTTCTCCGGGTGCGAGACGATTAGTGCAAGCGGGATACAGAGATCAAACCCCTTTTGATATGAAATCTGAGCTGTTTTGGCTCACGTCACACGCACGGGGCTTAGCTTCGGGGCTTTAAGGTGGGCAAAACGTGACGACACCTGCACGTGTCGCACATGACGTGAAAGCTAAGACACGGGGCTTTCGATCCATAGTAACGACAAAACCCTGTGGTCGATGTACGAAACATAACAAGCATCTGCAGCGTGAAATACTGCCGTAAATCGGGTCAAATCGGGCTTAAAAGCGCCCCGGCTTCGAACCCGTTAAAGACAGGTCACTTCTGATGATACCACCGGTTGGCCCTGGGAACCAGCTTCACGTCGGTGTGCAACATGTCAATGGATTGTGTATAGTCGTCGTCCACGCGACGTTTAAACAACAACACCCACCGTTTCTGGCCCCTGCTATAGGGCCCCAGGTGATGTAAGGCTTCTCGTACGGTACAGTGCTTTAATCTTATCTCCTCAACACTTACAGGCCGGCTTTGATGTAGTACAGGCCGAAAAGGAAGGCGTGTGTGTTCGTATGAATTTATATATTGACAGTCTCGTCTAACGCAGAGGTTGACAAACTGGGTGACCGTCTTTGACATGCAGCATTGTTACTTGAACCTTCTCTGATATATGTAGCGTCATAAATGTTCATACTAACAGGGATCATATTGGGACAGTGTGATAGGTATTGTATGACTTGCTATCGGGCTTTCAAGGGGACCCAGTGGCATATTTTATGATATTGTTCATTTGTCAATACCGAAACTTTTTTGAGAGTTGCTGTATATTTCAGAAGCGAATGGACAAGTGCTGAACTTGACAAATATCGTCATTATAAGTATCAGGAGCCTCGTGGACATTCTGGTTAGAGGGACTGAGTTTAGTTGGGGATTTGTTTCGTGCCGTTTTTAGAAACATTTCTGCAATATCACGGCGAGGAACACCAACAATGGGCTTCACACATTGTACCCTTGTGGGGAATCGAACCCGGCGTGACGACTGAACGCTATAACCTGTATGCTACTCCACCGCCCCTCTGATAAGTCCCCAGACACAAATGCTTGTCGTATGAGGGACTTAATGGTAAGGGTAGACAGGCGTGGTGAAGACGTGTCATCGTTACCTCAAGGCGTGTATGGCAATTGGAAGGTGCCTACAATAGACAAGTTATCTATCAAAAGCAGATTTACATTTTTAAGCTTCCTTAACAAATTTGGCCTTTTGATCAGAATCGTTACATCACTTGCATGATGTCAATAACTTACGAGGGGTGTGGGGTAGCCTAGTGGTTAAATCCTCCGCTCGTCACGCCGAAGACCCGGGTTCGATTCCCCACATAGGTACAATGTGTTTAGCCCATTTCTGGTGTCCCCCGCCTTGATATCACTGGAATGTTGCTAAAAGCGTCGTAAAACTAAACACACACACTCGATAACTTCTACAAACATACTTTTTCGTAAGGCCACATATTTACCACACCCAAATATGTAGTGAATCTCAGTCTTGATATTAGTAAGGCACACGTTACCCATTCTATTAATACGCACCCTTCAATACATCTAGTATTACAACGTAACAGTAGTTCATTAAATCTCAGCAAACATGTGACTTCTTTGTTCCCTTGGGCGGTGGGGTAGTCTAGTGGTTAAAGCGTTGACTCGTCACGCCGAAGACCCGGGTTCGAATCCCCACATGGGTACAATGTGTGAAGATCATTTCTGGTGTCCCCCGCCCTGATGTTGCAGGAATATTGATAAAAGCGGCGTAAAACCAAACTCAGTCAGTCAGTCAGTCTTTGTTCCCTTATATTCCATCAACTCGATCATTACCATGTTTCTGACCAGTTATTGCGGGACAAAACCTCCAACAGTGACCACGTGGAATAATAAGCAATGACCACTTGGAAATGAAATCGACACGCAAACCGAAATCCACAACACCTCATATTGACCACGCTGTGACCAGACATCAAACTCACATTAATCAAAGCAACTAGCACATGGCAGAAGCTTGATCACAATGCCTGTTACAGTCAGGAGCTCTGAATGGACAAAACGACCTGTGAGAAATTTATATCGAATTAAGAAGGTGTGTTAGTTATATTGGCAGGGCATGAGATTGATCACTCTCGCTAGGAACTAATAATTACAACACAAGTATGCTGGTTTGTCAACTGGACCCATGCTCAGTTGACATATTAGGCGGATCAAAAACATTTTTTGTGCATGCATACCTTGACACATCAATGAATAAGTCAACATAATTTCAAGACATTACGTGAACGTTTGCAGTCCTTCAGACTCTTGACTTCAGTATCTAGTGAGACCACCACGAGCGGCAATAACTACAGCACAGCGTCCATGCATGGAGTGCACCAATCGATTAATGAAGGCCATTGGCACCTAGAACCACACTCTGATAAAGGCCTGGCGCAATAAATCGGCTGTGTTCGGCCTTGTTATGACATTATTCAGTCTCCTCTGAATTTCATCCCAAAGATGTTCAGTTGGGTTTAAATCAGGACTAAGGGCTGGCCACTGTATAATGTTGACACCATTCTGCTGTAGGAAGTCCCATGTAGCTCTGGCAGTATGGGCCCGGGCATTATCATGCTGGACAGTGTTGTTCCGGTGACGTGCGAAATGTGGTATGACGTGGGGTCTGAGAGCTTGGTCGATGTAGCGCATCGCTGTGATGCGATCTCCTGTCCTTGGAAAAAAGGTTCTGGAACATTAGAGGACCCACCCTCTGGTTCAGGCCTATTCCACCCCATACCACGATGCTTGCACCTCCCCATGAGTCCCTTTCTATAACACATTGGTCTGAGAAACGCTGGCCACGTCGTCGCCATATTCGTGTTCTGTCATCTGCAGTTCATACGCAGTACCGACTCTCATCTGTGAACAGAACAGTTCTCCATTGCCTGTATCGCCAGTTTTGGTGTTGTAGGGCAAACTGTAGACGTTCACGCCGATGACGAGGAATAAGGATAGGTCCACGGTAAGGTCTACAGCAATGGAGGTTCCCGCTGTTAAGACATTGGCGTACTGTATCAGTACTGATTGGTCTTCCGTGTGTTCCCACTGTCTGGCTTGCTGTTTCGGATGGCTGCATTGGAAATGGAAATTATTTCCTTCTGCAGTTATGGGTTCTCTGTGTATGGAAAACGGAACGTAGCGAACACGTCAGGACTACAGGTATGTTTCACACAGGTAAATATTGTTTGAAGATCCACTAATGTTTTAGTGATACAGTATTCTTTCTCTGCGCAGTCTCTTTGTTTCCAGAAGGAGAGACCAGACATCTTTCAAATGATTAGTTTACTTTCAGTCTTCCTATTTTCAACACATAGTCGTTGCCAGTTAGCTAGGCCACCGGACGTCCTGTAGTACTTAGAACCCCATGAAGATTCGGGTTAGAAGTGATCTTCAGGAACCCATGCTTGTCCTAAGATACGATAACGGGTTGACACATGTCATCGTATCCCAATTGCCAAGATCGATTATCATGATGGTGATCTCTGGATTGACTGGTCCAGACTCGATTATTTACAATATTCCGCCATAGAGCTGGAATATCCCCCAGTTGAGCATTAAAAAACAAACAAGCAAAAAGGACAACAATAATTACATCCCCGTGACAATTAGATCATCCGCATATCAGGGTATAAGATGAATGGTTTTCTCTGCCATTCCAAATCTCAGACTGCAACTAATTTCTAGTTATAAAATGGTGATCATTTCTTTCCATGGCTTTTTCTTACTGGATGTTTCATGTTTGTGTTGTGTCCGACATAAATCAGTCCACGATGAGCATATTCAATGTCATAAACTACGTTTGTAAATTATCCAGTATGTTTTAGTTATACTGTTTTGCATTTGTTTTGGGGTGACGTTTAGACATAGACATTAGAAACTTCACAGAATAAAAGAAGTTGTATATCCATAAAATTTGTCACCATTCTCGCCATAATATTGCTGGAATAGTGTTGAGTGTGGCATGAAACTTGGTTATATGCGTGTAACTGTATATATGTCTACTGGGTTTCATGCATGCTTTGAATAGAAAGCATGGGTACAATGTGTGAAGCCCATTTCTGGTGTCCCCCGCCGTGATGTTGCTGGAATATTGCTAAAAGCGGCGTAAAACCAAACTCAGTCAGTTTGAATAGAAAGGAATATTCCCTGAGGGTTTCGTTACACTTCAGCTGTGCTCAGGACGTTTGTACTTCAGCTAGTACCAGGTTCAGCACACTGTTGAGATCAAGTAGTCGTTGTGTAGCTCAGGTCATCCCAGGAATCTCCACAACAGCTGGTGTATTTCACCTGATGATCATGTGGACTATTTCACTTCATGCTCGAAATGGTCTTTTTGAATATTGCATGTCTACAATTAACTGACAAGGCGATGCCCATAGGTTCTAGAAGACATTCATTGAACCTTAGTGTTCTCTTCATGGACTGGATCTATTTTCTCTGTAAATGTTTTCGGAGTAAATCACCTGAAACAGATTTAACCTCCATTTTTCGTTTTCTACCAGACTATATGCGATTTCACCTCCGTGTCTTTGCATAGAAAGAGGAATCCGTATTTGTCATCCGTCTTTCAAATCATCATCTTCTGACGTAAGCACATCTCTGACAAACTCCCCCGACTCTGTCAGCTGTATCACCTTGTGACTGCTTTCTACAAGCATGACGTCTCTCTGCTGGTAACTGTGATAACAGAAGCGCTACGAAGTGCACTGTCCCCAGTAGGCGCGTGTCTCCACACAACCTCCCCCCTCTGACGTCTTCCCCCAGTCCGAGACGAGTATGTTGCCCTTGGTGTTGACACACATGTAGGCGGGGTAGTAGTCTGTCTCACAGTCCCCGAACCACATTAATTTCCCTACTGCCAAGCCCTCTCTCTGCAGTGCTAAAGCCCTAAATAAAGCAAGTCTAGATTTCCTCAGGTTCTGAATCTCTGGTCTCCCTAGGGCTCCTTTTCAATATAAATGGGCTTGTTTGTTACTATCAAAATTATATATATTCAGAGACTAAGCCTTAGTCTAGCGGGGTAGGTAAACAGCAAGTCATCATTGTGTGCAGTGATTGTCCTCAACACGTGTCCAGACATGTCAAGGATTTCAACATTGCCGTAGCCATCACAATCTACGCCATCTGCTGCCAGAGATGAAGGGTTTAGAACAGCCAGACTCTAGTAACTATTGCTAGTTAGGATGGTTGAGAGCAGCACCAGGTTCGGGGTCACCTCTACTGTTACAATCTGGCGGGACGAAGGTACAGCAACCATTACCTTCTGCTTCAACTGTGTTATCCCATATGGTGAGTTATCCAGGGGAAGCTTACTGTGGCATGGATGGTTGGCTCTTGTGTACAAAGATTTCAGACAATGATTTGACATGTCAGTGACAACACATGTCTGTATATCACCCACACTCATGATTGTTACGCAAATTAAAAGAGTTCTCATCTCATCAACCGATATCCTCCATCTATCGTGTCAATCAGCACAGGAGATGGCAGATATGTACCCTGATCCTGGTATGTGACGTCAATTTGCCCTAACTGGGTCATCTAAGACCTTCAGGACGTTGTCAGTGTCAGGTGTAAAGATATGTCATCTATTTTCCGGTTGTCTGCTGCCTCTGTATCCCTGACATTTTCCATCTCTACAACTCCTAGACCTGATACGCGTCATACAGGTCCATCTCACAGTCCGATACCAAGACCTGGTCAATGAACTCACAATGTTGTCTGTACATCTGCATCTCGATCTCTTCAAGCTTCAAATCAGCTCGGAGTTGGCCAGAGAATGTCTGTGATATGGTATTCAGTTCATCCAAGATTTGTGTTTCTTTCTGCTTAATCTTGTTAATGGCTGTCAGGCAGATCAACCTAATATTTTGCACAGCTGACTCTGTGAATCTAGAATTACTCTCTTCGACCTCACTTTCCACTTTCTTCGACCGCATCCCTGGCTTCATTGACTCAGTGGTGACGACAGCCTTACAAGCTCTGTGGTAGATGATACAACATGTCTGACAGGCAGCCTTCCCACAGTCTTGACAGTGGAACTCAACACGGTTACTCTTGTGTTCCGTACACTTGATCCTCCGTTTGACCTTGACCACAGGTCACACGGGTCATGGTTCAATGAACTGGGAGTCACCCGGTGTGCCTATACACATTTGTCACAGAGGAACACTTCACACTCAGGACACCACAAGACCCCTAGAGTTGTCTCCCCTAGTTGCTGACAGATTGTACAACATGTGCCGGAGATCTCTGTAAACACAAGTACAAACGTACTTATTTTCATTGAAATGTGGAAAGGCTAGGAAAGTAAGCAGGCTGTATATTATCACAACACAAATGCCAATGTTAGTCCACCACAGTTTTTAAATACATACACACACACGCATATCATTTTTCACTTTACCTTGCACACCTGGGACCTATAGGTGTCAATCAGCCCTCTATAATGATGCTGGGCTTGATCTGCCCCGCCCACTCCTCCACCGGCCTGTTGGGGTGGGGAACCTTGGTATCTTGTCGACAGCAGGGACAGGGGATGGTTTTGAACTGGACAGCATCAGGTCTGGTTTGGATGTATGAGGTGACACATTTCCTGCAGAATGTGTGATCACCTCATTGTCTGTGTACATCTCGAAGCAGATGGAGCATGTCAGGAAATTATCCTTTACTTTCTCCTCGAGCCCGGCGGTCGCAATCTGCAAAATTAAAATGTCACAGAATTCTATTTCCATAACGACATCCGTTAATTTCAGACATTTCTACAACATACGCGTGCACGTTGGTCATTCCTCCTCATTCTGTTTCTGGGTGGTTCGGCATGTTTTAACCTTGTTTGGGGGTTTCACCTAAGTAGCATCATTTCAGGCTTTCGTCCCTCACCAAGGTGACACGCCCCGATTGAATACTGTACAGTGTTAACCTAATATGGCTTCCAAGGGAGATACTGCTTGTGAGCAGACAGTTGCAATGTTCTTGTTTGTAAACCATGACATCATCAGCGACACAATAACTGGAACAATAACGGACACAACTGGAACTGCCTACCACTTTATGACAAAATATCATTTACACATTTGGAGAGTGGTAGCCTAGTTGTTGAAAAGTTCGCTCGTCTCACCGAAGACCTGGGTTCGATTCTCCACATGGATACAGTGTGGGAAGCCAATTTTCGGTGTCTCCACTGTGATATTGCTGGAATATTGCTAAAAGCGGCGTATAACTAAACTCACTCACTCGTTCACTTACACATGTATGGTTAACTGAACAATTCTGAAAGTATTGCTACTCGTACTACCTGAACGCAAGGAACTCCGGTCAGGAGAGTAAAGTTGTTTTGGGCCCCGTTCAAGACAGCGTTCGTTATACTACGTCATTTGTAGGCCTGTGATAAACTATATGGTTACGATAACTCGTAATGCTACATGTATGTGTGCCTTGTGTGGTCGGAACCCTGAGATATATTGGAATAAATTAATCGTTAATTAAATGCGTATAGGATCGCCAACTACAACTTAATGAGATAAAACGGAACCTCTCAGCTGGAACTAAACAGCAACTTCGAAAGTCAGATGTTGAATCTGTTGCTGTTTCAGACTAGGATCTAGGAATACTCTTGGATCCAAGTCTGTCCATGGAAGCACAGATAAACAACTTATGCAGAACTTGCTTCTCTCATCTTAGAGTGATTGGCAGTATCCGTCCTCTTGTCACCACAGAATCTGCTCATTGCCTTGTCCATGCTCTCATTGTCAGCAGACTAGATTACTGTATATACTGTCTCTATATACGCCTCCCTGACACCCTAATTGACAGACTACAAAACGTTCAAAATACAGCCGCCCGCATCGTCAGCCGTACTTCTAAACACTTCCACATGTCCCCAGTTCTAAAGCAGCTCCACTGGTTACCCGTGAGAACAAGGATTCAAGACACTGTGCCTCACATACAAGTCCCTGCATGGCCAGACTCCACCTCTCATTGCAGATCTGATCAAGCCCTACAGCCCAGCTCGCGTACTTCGCTCACAGCAGCAACACTTCACTGTGTCTAACTACAGACTTAAAACCATTGGCAACAGAACTTTCTCCTACACTGCCCCTGTCTTGTGGAACTCTGTCCCCCTTGACCTGAGACACTCTGAATCAAATCTCAAAATAACCCTTTGCTCAATAATATCATCAAGAGCCTTACTTAATTTGTATGTATACTGGACAAAATAAGTTAGGGATATTGGTATTTTTGCGATTGATATTTTATCACGATGTCAATGAATAAATAGATCATTATTCATAATTTCAAAATTTACATATATCCTAACTTTTTTTGTCCAGTACATTAAGCATCTATTCCATTGTGACTTGTCGTAATTCTGTCTTTGTAACTTGTATTTTAATGGAGCGTGGATATGTGCGCATTATAAATATGTGTAGATACAGTGGCCTGGATACCATGCACTCCAAGTGGCTTAGGTGCGAATGTATGCATGCACGCAAATGGGAGTACACATTCAACCTTGAGTTTAAAGTTGGTTGGAATGATTGCGCAGGAGGCAGACATACAAAATACTGCTAGCAGATATATTCTGACATTTCCGGCTGGAAGGCATGTACGAACTAAATTGTCAAATAAACGCGCATTCATATGTCTGAAACCCTTGTGTAACTGTTTTTGTAATAAATGCTCTTCGTACCACAGACCCGTGAAGATCCGGGTTGATCTTCAGCGACCCATGCTCGTCGAAACTGGATACTAATGGGATCGGGGTGGTCAGGTTCGCTCACTTGGTTTACACGTGTAATCGTATCTGAATGACGCAGGTCGATGCTCATGCTGTTGATCACTGGATTGTCAGTTATTTACAAAGGACATGTGTTCGGGTTCTATTCTCAAGTAGCATTTTTTAAAATGTGTCCGCTCGTTCTCAGGAAACCAATGCTTGAATTTGGTAGTTACTGACCATCTCATGTAACACAGAAATAGAAACCTTCTTCCTGACATGTTTGTTCGTTCGTTCCAGTCTGACGTCTGTAGTTCTTCTAGCCTCTTACTGTGATTGATGGGTCCTGTCGACTTATGCTACACTCTGCTGACTTTAGTGCTTGTCACGTTATGTGCATAAATTAACAACAATAACCTTACACACGTTACGCCACAGTATGAATTCATTCTCGTATTTTCTGCCAGTTTTAATGTATAGGGCTTTCTTATGAAAGTGTTGTAGATATCTTTTTGGGAACAATTGAATAAGAGGGATTGACGGAGTTCCTTTTTTCTCGGTTCACTGAGGTATGAATCGAAAAAAGATGTGCAAACTGTATGAATTCGCTGCTCTATTCGGATGCATAGGGTCTGCACATCGGTTTTTCGATTCATACCACAGTGAATCACATTTCTTTGGTTTATTTCGTCGGTTTCACATCTAATTCTTTATGGACTGTGTTTCGGTTGGATGGAAATATTTCAGCAAAGTATGAGCATGATTACTGTGATGTAATATTCAAAGAAACGTAAAGGTGTGATGCAATTTACTCTTTCTCTCTCTGCCTCACAGTACATTTCCTATATATATTTGCAGGTCAAGTCATTCTTGATTGAATCAGAGGACTCACTTAAAATCTGCCCAGAGAACAAA